ATATATTATTCTATATTTATATTCAAATTGCAAACGTTATTATATTGTCAATATATAGATACTGCAACACTCGCCTACAACAGGTGGATTATCCGTTTATACATTTGACGGTTTTCGGAATATAATTATTAGAATTTTCGTCGCGAATAGTGGAAAACGTTTACACGGGGCAGCAGTGGTGCGGAAAACAAAATTATTATGACGTTTTTAGCCATTTATGCGAGTGCTAGATGTGATAAACGTTTACATTTTTTTCGTTAACCAACGAGTAAATAAATAAGTCTGCAGATAAAAGCCTAAGGCAAACTTACACGCCGCCTGTTATTGTCATTGATAATGGCTTTTAGCGAATTTACGACCGCCTAAACAAGAGCGCACCGACCCTTTGGCGTACATAAAAAAGCTCGTGGCACATTTGGAAACCATTCAAAATGTTTTTTTTTTTTTTTTTTGAAATCCCCATTTGCACCGGGAAAAATAACTTTAGGCGTGTATCGATATACAGAACAAAAAAGGTAATAAAACGGACTGCGTATTTTTTTTTTTCAGAAAAATTGCGGATGATTTTTTTCGCAACCAACAATTACGCTGGCGATAGGTCGAAAGCAAAACCAGTTATAGACCCACGTATGATATATATGTACATGATGCCTTATGCACGCTATAATACTCCCATCGCGAATGACTAGTGTGTAACTGAAAAAAACCTTTAACATCACTAAAAGACATTTTCTTGGGAGCCAAATCGTAAAATTATTTTACGATCTACGCGAGGAGAAAAAAGTGTTTCAAACAGTTAATCATATGCATAACAGTGTGTATACTTACAGAGATGTTAACGACTTCAGACCCTGGAAGGCGTCCACCGATATTTTTGTTATCTGGTTTTTGCTGAGGTCACTGTAAATACATATTAATGTGTTATTAATAAGTAAAGTAAATAGTTACCTATCTGTTTAATTGAAATGAAAAAAAAAATAAAAAACGATTCTTCCGTTAATGTATTATACATATGGATAACGTTAATATTATGGTCACGTTGCAAAGTTTATTTTTATATGATTGGCCCACAAAGAACGGCGAAGAGACGCACAATTTAGAGAACATTACGTTTAGTCAAATGCGAAGCACGCAGTCATGTCAAGACCAATTACACTTGTTGCGATGAATAAATTATAGGTACAGTGCGAATCGATATTATATTTACGGGCGGAAAAAATATAATTTATACATATTTCGTCAACGACTAAATTTCAATTCGTATTAACCGGTTGTTCACCGACATTCGTGAGCAAATAGAAATGCTAAAATATATGCGTCGGTTGTAGATTATTATTATTATTATTATTATTATTTTACATTTGATTGAAAACGATTTTATTATTGTAGTTCACACGTAAGTACACGGCAAAACTACCATCGTCATTCGATTTTGTTGTGTGTTTTTACAATTATGGTACACGCGTATATGATATAGAATTTTTTTTAATTATGTTGTGTTAAACAATTATAACTGTAGTTGTATTTGTACTTACATTCTTCGCAGACGTTTGTATTTAACGAACGCTTTGGGGAGGATTTCGGTGATTTGATTTTGTTCCAGTCTCCTGCGAAAAGTGATAAACCGAGGTAAATATAAAAACAATTTATATCATCATTTCACCGCATACACATAACATTGGTATAAATGGTATAATAATATGATGTATGATGGTCGACGAGCGCGGGGTAAAGTGGAACAGACAAGTCAGTTGTTTGGAAATTTATCGGTTATTACCTATACACCGTCTCTCAGAAACAAAATATTATGTCCTAAGTTATTCGGTTTTCGTATACTTTTTCTTATATTCATTCATCTGTAAAGAATGAAAAGGTCATAGTTGAGTACTTAACTGCAGGGAAATGAGACGTTTTATTCGTTTCCTGAAAAGTGAGCATTTTGACTTATTCCATTTTACCCGTACACCATCTAAATAATTTAATATAATATTATGTAGGTATGACGAATTTTTTGATAAAAAACGCTGATTTGGCTAATGGGTGGGTGTAACAGTTGGCGGGGTGGGTTACGGAGGATATAATATAATAGTCATGCTTACAGTTCTACGATGTCCTCCGGCAATTTGGTTGGCACCTTGGTCAACGACTTCTCCCTGCAATTCACGATGCCCCCCTCTTCACACGAACACGGATGCGGGCACGAGGACTTTTGGTCTTCGATGCCAGGACCACATTCCACCGTTTCCCCGTCGAAATCGCCGTCTGCGAGGAGTTAAAATACAATCGTAAATTACGCTGTATTAGCCAAAGTGTCACAATAGCCTTATAAGTCTAATGAGACCCTGTAGACTATAGATACCTACTATTATTATATAATTATTGTTGGCCACAGTACATTATACCTTTATATATATATATATTAGGTATAGCTATATACACGTAATCAACCGAATGCGTATAATGATATGTACAAGCGTTTGATTGCATTACTCTATATGGCGCGGAGCATAATAAAACTATATTATAATCATTACTCGTGGTCCTAATGTGCAGTTGTATAGATCTAATGAATACGATAAATTGTTTGTTAAATTTTCTGATTCAAAAATATACATTTAAAATATCAGGTTTTTATGTGAATAATGATTTAACAATAACTAACAATTTAACATTGACGAAAAAAAATTATCGAATTTGCACATTTAATTGTGATTTAATTTCAAATTTAAATGTACCTACCGTAATAAAAAGGTAAATGGTACGAATAAATTCAATGTATCGTGTTTAAAAGCTATTTTTTTGTCCATTCAAACAATTGTAGAAAATGTTTGCACTTTATTATAATTATGAATTATGAATGTAAATATATTAAAAATTATAATATAGTTTATGTTCAAATATATTAATTTTCATTTTGTTTGAAAATTGTAGCCATAAAAATAATTGTCAAGTACCTAATTGACTTTCATATACACATAGGAAAATAATTGTTTTTGTAGTAATTTTCAACGTACTTTTTAATTAAAAATATTTATATTTTCACTGATGAAAATAATTTACTTAAAATTTAGACGTTATTCACACCACCTTCTCACTGGATGTGGGAGATAAAATATCCGGTTTTAAAATATCGACGGCGGAAATTACATCAAATATTTAATATCCAGTGAATAAATGTCTTATAAGTTATAACTGCAGGAAAATTATTTAAAATATTTATTTTGTATTCTTTAGTCGGAATTAAACAATATTATAAATATATTATGCAGATTTAAAGGTAAACAAAGCCAAAAAGTACCATCGATTTCATAGGCTGAAACCGACTATCGACTCATAACATAATCATATTATACAATATGCTGCACGCATACCTATCATAATTAATTGTGACTTTAAAGTTTTATTTTTGCGTATCTGATAAATCGTAAAAAAATCGCTAAGATTGTATTATAACCTTGCCATTATTAAAAATGTGTTGGTCATGTTTCATTATATTATCATTATTATTATTATTATTATGACATAAAATACTATTAATTATTGTCGTGCGCATTGTATAATTACCGCACTGCATGTGGTGTTTGTGCATATCGGCCAGTGGCAGACCAGCCATGTTCGACGGCCCGTGGCAGTGGGTCGACGATCCGAGTCTAGGAATCCTAGGTAACCATTGTTGGTACAACCATTCGAGCTTTCAGTCGCACTGGAACTTGTTGTCGGACAGCCGGATGTTTCGCAGGCGGTAAAGGTCGGAAAACAGCCCCGACGGCAGCGTGGTCAGGTTGTTGTTGTTGAGAGTTCTGTGGAAATTAACAAACACACACACACACACACATGTATAAGTATAATTGGCGTTGTTTTCGTTTTTAATTCCGCCCTGAACGTTTTAATGCTTACAGTATTTCCAGGTCTTTGAGTCCTTTGATGGCGTGTTCGTCAATGCACAGGAGACGGTTGTTGTCCATTAGCCTGTGAACGAACGAATGGGCGATATTATGTATTATGAACTTTTTTTTTTTCTCCGTTTCTTTCACAATTAATCGTCAACCGTGAAAAATAATACCATTATTCGCGACGTTATTGAAACCGAACAGTGCGAACGAGACAGAGGACGAGGAAGTGCAGGCGGGTAGGAAATATAACGAAGAATAATGTATCGGAAAGTTTTGTCCCTCCGTCGCGACGAAGACGACGGGGAGGGATAGCCAGGCGGTGGGACATTTGAATTTTCTTTTTATTCTTTGCAGACATTTTCATTGTGGTCGATTAAAAAATATGAATGAAATACTCTGCGCTCCGACGAACGAAAGCGATTTCACAATGCAAAAGAATGAAGTCGACGACGGAAAGTTTTTTTAAAAGGGGGAAAAAATTAACTCATAAATTGAAATTAAGCCCCCGCGTTTAGTCAATAAGTTTCAATATTATGTACCTGTTGGGGATCGTTGGAAAATTTTTATTTTTATTTCTGTTTGTTTTGTTTAAATACTTACAAAGTTCTTAAGGCTTGAGCACCCTTCAACATGCTCTTCCCGACGAACAGCAACCGATTATGGCTCAGATCACTGTAAACATAAAAACACCGTCATAAGTATACGCAACATAATACATACGGCTTATTGTGTACGAGTCATATCGAAGTATTAAAATATAAACGCTGATAAAGGAGGGCGAAGGACGTTGGAGTCTCGCTTTTTCATAAAATGCGGCGTGCAATGGGAATGATATACATATTATATAGACACTTGCTCATAATATGCACGTTGGTGTGCTAAAATAGCGTTTGATTATTATTTTCATTTTTGTTTTATTCATTAAAGTCTCAACATTTACCAGAAAAAAAATTACACCGTGGCAACAGTCGAATTTACATTGGTAGTCGCTTGTTGTAGCGCCTAATGGATTTTGATGTTTATTTCAAATAGAATAAATAAGAGTGGTGTAAAAATTGACTATCATGTTTTTTTTATTTTTATTCACTGTGAATTGTATTTTTACTTCTGTCTCGGGTTCGAGAGGGAAAAAAGGGAAAAGTCTCCATTTTCCCGTTAAATTGATTAGGTTTTTCGTTCGTTCCATTAGTTGTCGCCGAAGGGCATCTCCGGGGACTGTTCCTGCTCTGCTCCGCTCCCGAGGTTTACCGGTAATTAACTTTACATCACTAAAGTCTCAGGATTTTCGAAGAGCTGGGGATATATATATATATATTTATGTATTTTTTTTTTCGTTTTACAGGAGTAATAAAACGAACATTATTCAAACCTGGATGAAAGCGGTTCCGGAGGGTGTAAAATTATGAAAAATGAAAACCCATAATGTAACCGCACAATGAGAGTGGTATACAACACGACGTAACAATACATACAAATAAATTTGTTTTATTAATTAAATTTAATATTTATGGTTTATGTTACCGCAATTGTTCCGAATGTCTTTACATCAAAACCGTTATGCAAGACTGAAATATAACTAAATAATTGAATTCCAACAACATTCGTGAATTTGATTTATTCCGGTTGAAATATTAATAATACCCTATCCCCTCGCCCCCCCACAAACAGCGATATACTTTAAATGAAAATCCGCACTTCAGCGAGTGCGCCTATACAATAATAATAATAATAATAATATGAACCGTCATTAAAACGGTGTCGACTGTGACGATAAATACTGAAACGTACACGTCAACGGTTCTTATATGAAAAAACGTCACACATCCATATTAAACATTATACAGCATACAGTCGGGAAAATCAGATCTTGGAATATATTGCAGCCGTGTCTAGTGCACAGATGTCTGTTGAATCTCTTCAACACATTTTACGGTTGACGCGTTAATGTTGTATATATTATTATATACTTTTGAGTTTTCGTGAAAACTAAAAACCAACCTCGTCGATACGTCGGCAAAATTCAATACCGTAAAATGTACCACGAAACGGCAAGATTGTTTCAAACCGTAAATCTAACACACACACACACACACACACACACACACACACACACATATATATATATATATATATATGCACACGTCTCGGTGCGGTTGTGGTGCAGCTGTTGGAAGTACATTACAATATTGTATACCTGTACGACACACTGCAGTGCTTTTGAGGACCGAAACTTTCGAGTGTCAAAAACAGAGCGAAAATAAAAGAGATATTTTAAAAATCGTATACGATTAGGACGAAACGTACCTATATGCGCATGTATACAATATTATATAAAACGTAAAAAGGAGCTGCGCGAAACCGGAAATTTTAATTGCTTCGTAGCGAACGGGCGCTCGTCGACTTTGTATTCTCCGGCGGTGCTGGATTATTAATTACATTTCAACTAAGGTACACCCACCCACGCACGCCACACAAAACGCACTGCGGAAATGCCACGGAGGCGGATATTATTATGACTATATAGTATGAAATAAAAAATAAATATAATTTCAAAAATCTTCGACGCGAAACGCCTTATACCGATGTATGTGATATATTATGTATATATATATATATATTATATAAGTACGTCGACGACGTACTGACCATCCGCGGATCGTCTTCAGATCGCGAGGCAACACATTGTTGCACGATGCCTAGGTTAGGTACCTATGTGTACAGAGTGATTCACTAACCACGCCAACCCCCATTTTTCCCGTTAATAATGAATTTATACGATTTCTGTTTTTTTTTTTTGGAATCCTCAGCTATAGGTTTACTCGGAGACCTTATTTTTAAATCCTTAAATTTTTTCCTCACTACTTAAGGAGAGCCCTGCAGTGGCGAAACAAACTTCTGTTTTTCGAATGAGATTCTCTCTTTTTTTTTACTGTAAGTTATTTAGTTGATAATTTTTTTGAAAATGTGGATCTGGGTATTTATTTCATAGTTTAAGTTTTAACAAAGGACGATAGTCATTAAAAATGGTTTTATAAAAATATAAAATAGATGTAATCTTGGATCTAGTAATTATTATACTTGGACCACTATTACACATTATTATGTTGATAGACTATAATATTTGTCGTTACAATTTTCAAATCATCGTAGTCCCCATACGTCCAAACTCATTAACACGGATCTATAGCTATTTTTAATTAGCACCTAAAGTTTAAATAGTCAAATACTACTACTTTGAATAATTTTGATTCTGATGCATCAAAACTTTCAGAAAAATTATTCACTAAACAATTTGCAGTGAGGGTTCTCGTTTGAAATATAGAAGCTATACAAGCTGATATGGATACACAATCCATATAAAATTCCTCATAATTTGTACGAAAAATCTCTAGTATTTGAAAATATATTGATCTTTAAGTTTATTTAAAAATTTCAAAAATAAATCGAAAAAAAAGATCACTATCGTGGTCGGCGAATCACCCTATATGCGTAGAAGGACAACTCCCTGACCCACTCGGATCGTCTTTAGATTGCGAGACAAGTATAAGAAAATACATTGGTACACCATATTATTACCTTCCTATCTACACAGTAAGACACGCACAGTCATAATAATATTATATTCAACTCCGTCTTTACACGTTTTTTATATCATATTAAAAAAAAAAAAAATGTGAAAATAAATCATCTCAGTCGTTGATCCTCTCGGGACGCCAATACAGCGATCCCGTGCAGCACATTCATACACTCACACACACACACACACATATATACACGAAATATACTATTATAATATAGAGATGTAATCTATATGATAATATACACGGGATTTCCGGTGGTAATATCGGCGTTAGAATATTATTATGAAACTTTCAGACGGCCTTCGTCGCCCGCCCGCCCCGGTTGCGCGTTTGTAATCTCCATTTCGCGACAACCCTCCTCGGGAGAGGAGCACGCCGCGCAGGGACCCTATACATATTCTTTTGTAGTCGTCGTCTGCGTCGTATGAGTCGTCGTCGTCGTCGTCGTGGTGGTGGTGGTGGTCGTCGTCGTCGTAGTCGTCGCAGCAACGATGACTGATCGAACTAGGTGATTCATGCACCTTCGCGTTATTATTAATCGAAGAATATTGTATATACGAGGGAGAGAGAAAGAGTGCGACGCACTAACGGGGATGGATGCGCGATGAGAGAGAGTGAGCCGACCGCCGCCGTCGGTGACAGCTTTGCGGGCAATAATAATCATTTTCGGCGGGGGAAAAAAAAAAGGGGACGTCGGCCAACAATCGAGTCGTAGTTATACCGTTTTCTTTTCGTCGTACCCAAAGGGGCGAAAAACGATGCGTATATATACTTTATTATGAAGAAATGACGATATTAATTTATGTGTGTGTGTGTGTGTGTGTGTGTGTGTGTGTGTGTGTGCGAGCGCGCGTGAGTGGCGTGTGTGCGGTCACACATGCGATTATGGGAAAACTTTTATTATTATTATTATTATTATTACTATTATTATTATATTATAACGCGGTGAATCATTCGACACTGCCGGGATAACGGTCAATTCTAGGCGCAATCAATTTTATGTTTTATCATTTAACATGTATATGTCTGTGTATTATTTTTATTTTATCCTTTTACGAGACGTTATGATATAATTATACCTATAGTTGATGTCTAATACAAAATGTGTTATGTTAGAACGTAGTTGCAGGTACTCTGAGCCGGGATAATTCCCTATAAGGCTACGTACAGCAAGAATCGCCAATCATTGTGGTTGCTTGTATATTATGTAAGGATACATAAAGCCAAATAAAAAGGTATTCGCATATTATTATATCGACAAAGTGTTAAATTTTTATCAAAATATTCGCAAACATTTACGGTGTCCACCTCTCTGCCCCCGGCGGAGGATTAATGTACACAATGAATATAGATTGCATTTGCTGTAATATAGATATACTGTTAAAAGTTGATATTTATGGCTTTTTAAATTATTATTTATTTCGTTAAATATCACTTTCATAACGTTCGAAACAGAACAACATTAACTGTTTCAAATAATTAATAGTGTACAGTACACATATATTATTACATAACGTTATACCTAAATATGATATTTACATAACTTATATATTTTTCATTTTAAATCGGCACTTCATAACAATAATGAAAATACAAAATTAAACGGTATCGCTAATATTAAAATATTACACTTCGTAACAACGGATACATAATATTATGCATATACATAGCCTATGCGTTCAATGTATGCGACACAAAAAAACAATTTTGTATAGGTACACACAAATATTCTAGTTTTAGGGTATAGGTACACGCGTAACTGCAGAAATCTGTTGGGAATACAATACGCGGGCAGCGGTAGACTGGGACAATATTTGAGGCCGGGAAATTTTTTAGACAGGCTAAAAAAATCAACCAAAAAGTTGGTTTTTTATAACCAGTCAAGCCATGAACATCGCTAATATCAGGCCAGGCCACCGGGAAATCCTCTGTCGTCCCAACGTTTTCTTCAAGAGGAACACATTTTCGGGGCATAATGACGCGTTGAAATTCAAGTAATGTGACTTATTGGATTTTGTGAAATCTGATGGAAAGAGAGCCACACGTGCCGTTATTCTCACCAATTTTTTCGTTCCCAATAGCAGTACCACAATTTCACCTAATAAAACCAC